CAGCACCACTGATCTATATAATAACTGGATAGCGCATCTCTTAAGGAAACAGCGTAATTTTTGAAGCCAAAATTTTTTCGCCAGCGCCATACTAGGAGGACCCAAAGAGAAAAACTATTTATTTAAAATATTGTTAGGTGAACAAGCTATTTCCTTAGTTTGGTGGTTTAATTTTATGTTTTTTTGTATTTGACATAGATAAAACGTTTGGAAAATTATTAATAAATTTTTTAAATAATAATTATTACTTTTCAGTAAAATAATTATTCTATAAATGTCTGGAGAAAATACCAAAAAGCGAGGGACACAATGTGTTGCAATTGGTCTCAATAAAAGAAAACATGGTGGCAGTAAAAGAAGTAATAATGATGGAATCTCTGATGATGATTCATCTTTAAAACGAAAGTTTCCTAGAACATTCCATAGGTGACTTTCTTAATTATTTTAAAAAATAAAAACATTTTAAAATTTTTTGACCTCTGTTAGTTTGCTTGCAATGTGAACATACGAATTTAAATATCAGTTGTGCAAAAAGTAAAAAACAAATTTAATGAAATATCAAACATTATTTTTCCTACTACTTTTATTCAGATTTCCTTCAAACACTGAAAAAAAAAAGGAATGGACCATCAAACTACACCGTCAAGAATAGAGTCCAAGTAGTAGCAATTTGATATGTTCTGATCAATATTTAGAAAAAGATATTGACAGAACTGGACAAACCGTTAGGTTAAGGGAAAATTCTTTTCCTAAAAGATTTAAAAAATTCCCTGACCACTTAAAAAAGGTATATGTTCAATTATGTTTTTATGTATTGCACAGGTTTGTTCAATATGTACCTTTTAGTTCTTAATTACCCTATGCAGTGTGCTAGAGAGTTTATAACACAACTGTATGGTAAGCAGCTAAAACATATAATAACCATTTTGCTATTGTATGCTTTTATTTTATAAATGCTGCATGAACTATTAGCTAAGCTCTGTGAGTAAACACAACTTAGAGGTTCCTTCTAGTTAGATATAATATTTAATATAAAAATTATACAGCTATATATAAATATATATTTTTTCTTTTAATATTAGGATATGAAAGAGAGAAAAGTTCCTGTTAATAGGTCAACTTTTGAAAATTCTGAAAAAAGTGATTTGGAAAAAAGTGTTATACCTTTCAGCATGAAAGTTGGCTCCCCCAAAAAAATATATAACTGCAGTTTGACTTCAGAAAAACAAATAACAGAAACAAGATAATTGAGTCTTGAAAAAAGAAAGTAAAAGCGGAACAGCAAAAATCTCGAAGAATGAAAAAAAAAAAAACATCTCTTAAATCAGTAGTAAAAATATTATATCAAAAACAAAAAATATCATCAAATTGTGAAGAAATGCTTTTAAAAACATTTTCAGAAGTTCCTCAGGCTCTAACCAGAAGAATGATTATGCATAAAAATCATGGTAAAGGATTTAAATATTCAGAAGAAATCAAATCCTTTGCACTTACCCTGCAGTTTTATTCAAGCAAAGCTTATGATTATGTGCGAAAAATATTTAATTTTGATTTACCACATCAAGCACAAATTAGGAAATGGTATGGAAAAGTTTCAGCAGAACCAGGTTTTACAAAGCCAGCTTTTGCAGCACTTAAATACAAGGTTATAGAAGCTGAAAAATTAGAAAGTCATTTGCTCACTTATGTTAGATGAAATGGCCATTAAAAAACACATATCTTGGGATGGAAAAGCATTTAAGGGGTATGTTGATCTTGGGAATGGCATACAAGATGATTCATCCCCGGTTGCAAAAGATGCCCTAGTTCTCATGACTGTTAGTATAAACAGTTCATGGAAAGTTCCATGCGGATATTTTTTTATAGATGGGTTAAATGGTGCCGAACGAGCAAACATTGTAAAATTATATAATAAACGATTGACAGATGTCGGTGTTGAAGTCATATCACTAACATGTGATGGACCCTCATGTCACATTTCAATGTTATCAGACCTTGGTGTTTCAATTGATGCTTGCAAAATGAACACTTCTTTCACCCATCCTCTCAACTCTGATAAAAAAGTTCATACTCTCCTCGAAATTTTTCACATGCTTAAGCTAATTCAGAATTGCTTCCCAGATGGTGATGTTTTGTTTGATAGCGAAAACAATGCAATTTCATGGAAATATGTAGTTAATCTTAAAAAACTGCAAGAAAATGAAGAATTACGCCTTGGAAATAAATTAAGACTAGCACATATCAATTAGAGGCAACAAAAAATGAAAGTGAATCTTGCTGCTCAGGCAATTAGTTCAAGTGTAGCTAATGCAATAAAGTTCTGTTGCAAAGATTTTAAATTAATACAGTTTCAAGGAAGTGATGCAACAGTTAAATTTATTAGAATATTTGATAGATTGTTTGACATTTTAAACTCAAGAAATCCATTTGCTAAAGGTTATAAATCTGCACTAAAAATGACTAATAAGCATATATGGGATAAATTTCTTGATGACGCATATGATTATATTTCACACTTGCAAGACTCATCTCATAGATTGTTGCATAAAACAAGAAGAAAAACTGGGTTCATTTCATTTTTAATGGCAATAAAAAGTATTAAACAGATTAAAATATTTTGTAAAGTTATATTTATATCTGAACATTGTGTCTTTATGAAAAAGTTAAATATATTGTATGTATTACATATATATATATATATATATATATATATATATATATATATATATATATATATATATATATATATATATATATATATATATATATATATATATATTTCATACATTTAGATATTTTATAACCTTGTTGAAATTCCTGAAGCACCTTTGAAATATCTTCTAACATATAAGTTAAGTCAAGACCATCTTGAGTTATTTTTTGGTTCAATACAAGGATCAGGAGGATTTAACAATAACCCAACAGCGCAACAATTCACTGCAGCATATAAGCGACTTTTACTTCGGAGCCATATTGAAGGAGGATCAGGAAATTGTTAAAAATTACAAGCAGAAAATATTTTCAGTTTGATTCATTTTTTAGATTCAGTTATGATAAATAACAGCAATTTGGATATTACATCAGTAAACATAATAAGAAAATATGACTTATCTGAAAGAACATCTAAGACTACTGATCATGATTATTCTTTTATAACTAATATTTCATTGGTAACTGAGTATAAAAAAGCAGCTATCTCTTATATATAGGGCTTCGTTGTTAAAATGGCAAAAAAGCAAATATTTTGTATGTTATGTTGTGATGCACTTGGTTCTAAAAAACATGCTCCAGAAACCAATTTTCTTATAGTAAAGGACAGTGGTGGTCTTATAAAACCAACAAGAGATGTTATTACTGTTTGTAAAGAAACTGAAAAAAAAATTACAAGAATGCTAGCAACAATACCTGGAAAACTGCCACAGTCCAAAAATATCCCAGAAGTTATATCTATTTCAGTTTTAGAAAGTTTAGGATCTGTTTTATTTAGAGACTTGCATGAACATATGTTTGATACTACTATTAAAGAAAATCATGTTTTTAAGTTAATCAAAATAATTGCTTAATGCTATTGCAAAGTTCGATTTTATGATCTGGGAAAACAAGCCACTGAGAAAATGTCAGGGAAAAATATAAGAAAAACATTAAGTAAATTGGTATTATTTAATCATCAATAACTATAACTTTTACAAACACAAAACTATTTTATATTATAAATAGTAACGTAATTTGCAGAGTTTGCACAATATTTTACCAACAATACTTGGAAATGTTCCCAAACATACTTTAGAGAACTTAACAGACTCAATGCCAAATTGAATAAATGAGTGCTTAAAAATTCATGGTAGAATTACGGGGTACTAGGTAAAAATTACCGCTTTTTGTTCTGTGGTTCATAACTTTTTCAAAATTTTTTTTAAAATAAAAATTACCTATAAAAACATTAAATACATTTTTTTTGTTTGTTTAAAAGTTTTTTTCATTATTTTTTTTTTATTTTGTTTGTTTATTTTTAAAAAGTTATTTTTTTCTACCAGAAAAATATGATCAAATAAAAAATAAAAATAGAATATGAATTTTTTTTGGTGGTTCTTAACATTTTTATATTTTTTGTATGTAGGTATGTATCTGAGAGATACTTAAGTTAATTACCATAGATTTGATGTAGATTTTACAAGTAGTAGTTGTCCACTTAAAGTAGAAACATACTTTTATTGTATACATTTTTAAATATTGTGTATCATTTAACCATTTTTAAAAACATTTATACAATATGATAGTAAACTTTTTATTTAAATTTTAAAAACTAAATTTATAATGGATATATCTTTGACATATAAACAAAAAATTGCTTTCTTTTTACTGTAACCCTAAAGAATGTTTTTATAGTATTTCATTTTTTTTTAAATTTGTATATTTAATACATTTGCTCAAAACAAGTTTTTATTTACAATCTTTTATTTTTTAGACAACGCAATGGTTTTTTTTTGTAATGTTATTGTCAAACTAAGGGATCGTCCATAAATTGTCACGCTTTAGGGGGAGGGGGGAGGGGAGGCAATTTTGTGACAATTTGTTACAAGGGGGAGGGGGTCTCGATTTTGTGACAACAAGGAAAAGGAGTACAAAATTGTTGCATAATATTAGGTAGGGGGGGGGGGGGGGGGAAGGCAAATAAAGTGTTACAGATGCATAACGAGGGGGAAAAGAGGGGGTCAAAAAATACGTGATGTAATTTATGGATGACCCCCTAAATCTTGTTTAAATTTATTCTAATGTTAGGTTGTATTGAAAAGTGAAAACTTTACAAAATAGTTGATGTATATTAGGTTTTATGTGTGCCTTCTTAGAATTGATCCAGACAAAAAAAGAGAACTTACTTAAGTTAGACAATTTAAGTACACATGAATACAAGTAAAAAACTGTTAAAGTATAAGATATAACACTAAATAAAGCACTAACAAAAACTAAAACACTAACAATGCTATAAAAAAAAAACTTACCAACCTCCCACATGAAGACATAATGACAACTTTAGATTGAGAAGAATTTCGAGAAACGCAACAAATGTGACCTTAAAATTGAATAATTAGATAAGTTGAGCTATATAAAAATGTATGTATATATGCACACGCACACATATATATGCACACACATACATATATATGTATGTATATATGCACACACACACATATATATATGCACACACACATATATATGTATGTATATATGCACACACACATATATATGCACACACACATATATATGTATGTATATATGCACACACACACATATATATGTATGTATATATGCACACACACATATGTATATGTATGTATATATGCACACACACACATATATATGTATGTATATATGCACACACACACATATATATGTATGTATATATGCACACACACATATATATATGTATATAAAATATATATACACACACCAACAAAAAATATACCTTTTAAAGAAAAAGACACAGCTTTTACCACCTAATAGATAATTTGTTAATATACATATTAACTAAATTGTTAATTAACATTGTTAGATTACGTGTATAAAGTTAATTGTTAATTAATATTGTTAGGTTATAAATAATAAATAAATTGCTAATTAATATTATTAGATTAACAATAAAAAAACATCATATAGAAAGTTTATTATAAAATAATATAAACAAACAATATAAAAAAAATATATATATATTACTCTTCCACTTGTTACATCATACACATTTAAATATACGTTATATTTAAATGTTGTTGATTGGCTCTGTTCTACTGTTAGAATCTGATTCTTCAATTTACAGCTAAAAATAAAAATAAGAACTTTTGTTAATGTTTACCTAGTTATGTATAAATTAAGTGCTACTATTATGATACAAATATCATGGTTAATTGAGTACCAGGTTTAAACTACTAAGGTTGATTGCAGAATGTTTTGGTAGTTTGAGTTAAGCAATATTTAGGTAGAAAATAATCTACATTAGGTAGATAGTAATCTAAATTAGGCAGAAGTAACCTCCAAACTTTTGGTTACTTAAACTAATGCAAATCATGTTTTGCTCAAAATTATGATAATATTAGTTTGGAAAATAAAAAACCTTATAATTAAGTACTACCCACCCACATGTGGGGAAAATAAGTTTTTTCAGGAAAAAGTAAACCAAGTTAGAGTTTAAATAGTACCTTGAATAAGCTTCAAGTATAAATTTAAATAAATTTGAAATTTTATCATAAAACTATAAGATATTTAAGTCAAAATAGTATAAAGTTTAGAGCAAAATGAAGGGTAGGGGAGTATATTTGACATAATTTGTCAAACTTACTCGTCTGCCCTACAATAGCTATAATTTCTGAATACAAAATTTTTCAATGAAGTTTATAATTCCTAGTTAAATTTTCATCTCATCCATTTCCCCAACATTTATAGAAGGTTCCCACCATTTATCAGCAGATTTTTGAGCAAAACATGCTTAATTGACATTTAATGTGTCACAAACAAAAGAAAGTCTAACATTCCATTTCTCATATATGGGTCTGATTTTATTACTTTTTCATTTAACTTATCTCTTGAATGTAATGACCACATTCTTTCTGAAATCCCAGAAAGTAGTTAAGTATTTCTTGGACATCTAAATCACTCCAATTTTTGCTGCATAAGTTATTACTCACTTTCGATTCAAATAGAACTTGTAACTTTTATGCCAAATTTTAATACCAATTTAGAATCTAGCAATGCTTTAAAGAATCCCAATTTTGGTATGAAAGCTATCTATTGGATGCATCAATACTGTTTTTTTAAATTTAAAAGTTGTTGATGTTGTGCTTTGTACCTTATTTAACATTTATCCTGAATTTTGAAGGAATTCTTTAGGATAGAAATAAAATCCTAAAGTATTACCAAGTACAACTTTAACATCTACTGAAATATATTTACTGAAATATATATATTAAATAATTTTTATTTATATACATCTACCCTTATTAAAGATTCTGTATAATACTGTCCAAATGAATCCAAAAACATTTTTTTGTTATAACAATTTTTTTTTTCCTAATCATATTTGCTAATATTTCATAATATAATATATTCATGTTTTACTGTTTGTTTTTTTAATTCATCATTACCTACTTTTATTTATAAGCGACAAGTAAACAAAGCTGTACCTGAATTGTAAATCAACAAGATCATTGGATGATTGAAAGCAACTTGAAATTTCCATTGAGTAAACACTAAAAAAAAGTTTAAACATTGTGATTCTCTGTAATAAATTCTCTGCTAAAAAAAGATATTGTAATTGAAAAAGTTTTTCAATAGTGAATTGCAATATCTTAGCTTCAAATTCTCAGCCTAATAAATTCTGAAAATTACTTTGATATCCTGGTTAATGATAAAACAACAATGTTTGGACTTTGAAGTAAAGACACTCCTTCTTTTGAGTAAGTCCACCAAACACACAGCTAATGCAAAAATTAAAAAGAATTAAAAAATTGCAAATAAAGCTAGCTACTACAAACACAAGTACAAAATAAACAAGCTACAAATAAAATTTGCTAACAAATGGTTTTAGATTATTTATCAAAATACAATTAAAGTAAAGAAAAATAATATAGAGTAGAAAACGGCAATAGCAAATGTACGTATTTGTTAACTTTCTCCAGAATAAACTTTTACAAGATAGCAATTTACATTCTTAACTTTTATTTACTACTTTTATTTACACCTAAAAATTTCTGTAATTTACTTAAAAGATTTTTGAACTTTTTAAATAACCTTTTTAAATTTAAATAACCTTTGCAAAAACGCTTTATAACTTTTATACAAATTAAAGTTTATCTCTAAGCTAATTCAATACTGTAAAAATGATTATTTTTCATTACTAATGTTAGCCAGGGCCAGCGTGAGTAGGTGTCACTTGAGGGGGTGCCATTACAACTTTTACCAATTAAAAAAAGAAAAAAAAAGAAAAAAAAAGAGTCCTTGTTTTTTAAAATTTGCTGACTGTATCAACATTTGCTGACTGTTTAAATATACCAACTAACCTATCGAAAGGGTCTACATTTGCCAACTAACTAGTCAAAAAGGGTCGAATTTGCTGACTAAATGACCGAAAAAATCATTGATGGAACCCCCATCGTGCCAGCCTTGATGCTATGACTATTCTTTATTACTAATGCTAGCCTGGTCCGGCACGAGTAAGTGTATCGTAGTAGTGTTGCGCCAGTCTTGATGCTAGCACTTGTTTAATAAACTTAAGTAGTACCTTATCATAGTTGGTATTCACAGCCATGTTACGCTTCAAGCGCATTCCTGATGAACTAAACGGTAAACTTAAAGTGGAAACCTAAAAAAAAGGAAAAGATTAAGTAAAAAATAAAATCATAGATATAAAATTTAATCTTTTTTTTTTTTACAATAAATTTAACTTATGTTTTTATCATAATCTCAATAACTAATTTGACACTTTTAAATTAATTTAAAAAAAATAAAAAAAATAAAAACCACTTTATAATCATACCTCACTTGCAAAAGAAACTTCATCAAATTTCTCTGTTGTCTTTTTGCTAAGGTTTATAAGCCAAAGCTCTGGCTTATCCAGCAATGCAAATACCATAAAACTATGGTGGTAAATAACTACAAAAATATATGAAATAAACTATAAAAAAAAAAGTACAACAAAATTGAAAAAGCCTTTAAAAAAACACAGCAAAAACAAAAAACAAAATCAAAAAATTTTAAAAACATACCATTGCATACATAACTGTTAATTTTTGTGGAAAAAAATTTATCAATTTCAATTCTCTCAAGGTCAAGCACTTCTTCTGAAACAGTTAGATGTATAATAATTCCATTTGATAAAACAACCTGTATGTCATATTTATAAGTGTTTTATTAAATGATAAAAGAACGAATAACATTTCAGCCATTAGTAAATACAATATAAAATTTATTAGTGTTGTGACCAACAAAAGAACAGTTTTTTTTAGAAAGTAACTAAAGAACTGTAACTTAAATTAACTTTTAAATTAAGTCTGTTTAAGCTAAAAATATTTATGAATAAATAATAAATAAATATCAAGTTGATATTGAAACATGTATAAAAGATTCACTAGTAGAATATTGTTAATTACAAGTTTATTATAGTGAAAATTTCAATTAGGAAAATATTATTGTAATATTATTGTAGTAAAAAGGTAATATTATTGTAGTAACATTTTTGGACTTTCTTTGAATGCTATTCAAATACTTCTGGTAATTGTAAAATTGTTGGTAAAACATGTAATTTTAATTAGTTGTTTAAATGAAATTTTTTTTATTTATTAGTTGTAAAGTTTATTTGGTAGTATTAAATTTTATTTTATTTGGAAGCGTTTAAGCAACCATTCTAAACAATTATAAATAATTAATGTTGAATTGCTAAAAATACATTTATCAAAATTAAAGTAAACCTGTGAAAGTTTAAAATTATGGTAGAGGTATAGTGGAAAAGTATGAAAGTTTAAAAATATGGTGTAATGGAAAAGTTGGTGTGAAAAATTTAACTAGCAGTGTAGTAGAAAGCTCAACTGCGGTAGTTGTGTGGTAGTAGAGCACTTGGCTCATAAGCAAGAAGTTAAACCAAGTTAGACCCCCACCGTGCTCAACTTGTTTCTCTGTGCATCAGCCTTGTTTGTCAAAGTTCATTTTCGGAGTAATAGAGTTAAGAGAGGGTTATAATCACAACCTTTTATTAGAAAAAATTAGTAGCCTTCTTGACTGTAGCGGTCTATATGGCCTTAAAAAGTTGAATTGAAGTAAATTAAGAAAGAATAAATACTGTCAAATTTTAAAGTTAGATGAACAACTTTGATAGAGTATTTTCTTTAAAAATAGTTACAGAAAAAAAGGCATTTATCAAATAAAAAATATTTTTTTCTACTACATAAGCTAAAACATATACTTTTAATTAAAACTATTAATTTCAACTTTTTACAAAACTGTGTAACTGTGTTGTTCTTTCTCTTAATACAAAATAATTTCAAAATATACATGCTTTATTTTGTGCATCTTTACTTTAATATATAATTAATAATAATATATAATTAATAATAATATATAATTAATAATAATATATGTAATACTATTATTATACTTATTTTATTTTGTATTTGTGTTTAATCTCTTATTTAAATTCAAAATAAATTTATGTAGGGGAGACCAGGGTTAGTCAGAGCAAAGCATTAGTTGAAACATTTAACTTTTGTGCCGACTAACAACCAATTTATAAATACAAAAAAGTTACTAGGGTTTTAAGAACTAAAATAAATACTATTTTGTTGATAGATAAAATAAATTGTGATTTTTGCTTAAGATTTTACAGAATGAAAATTTTTTATGATTTTTGTCTATATGAATTTGATTTGATTTAGAATCAATAAATTTACAATCAAGAATAATTTAACTTTTTTCACAAAATTTAATAATACTTTATTAATCAATCATTAATTATAAAGTATATTGATGAAGAGATGCAACACTAGGCATCTCTATACTATCTAATGTGTAGGGCAAATTGTCGACAAGACAAGTTGTCCACCATGATAGGAAACTTTAAAATAAGTTGACCATGTGAGTATTAATTGCTTTTGCTTGAGTAAAGGCTAGAGATTGTGTCTCTATAAAAATACTCATCTTAGGCAGATGTTAAATGCATCCTGCGTTTAACATCAGGCAGATGTTAAACGCATCCTACTGTCTTTTAGAAGGCCTCTTAGGCAAAGACTTAATGAGTAAACAGATTCTATCTGTTGACTAGCTTCGCACCCCTTCTTCATCTATTAGGCTAGCGCATATGTGCTTATAATACATTGTTTCCAATTTAGGATGTTAAACGCTGGATCTTATTGACTCAATGCATGGGTTTTGCTTGTGTCTCTGTTTTAATGACAAGGCAAGTCATTCTATTATCTCCTAATGAAGGTACAGCTCTAAAACTCAGTTTTTTGGTTCTGGGGCCGGCTGGTAGTCAGGTTTCCCGAATTCTGTGGTTGCTCTCAGAAAGGCTGATTCAGTGTATGGAATCAGCCTTTCTGAGGTATGAAATTAAATAGTGTATTGAGTTCTATCTATGCCTCGAGTCAAGTTCTTTAACCAATTTAAAAATGACCAAAGTACCAAAAACTATAAGACACAAAAAACCATCATCATCACCAAGTTCTCTAAACCTATTTTTTACTATATTCATGGTCTTTAAAGTAACATTTCTACTGTTGAGTCTTATCTCATGCTAAGTTCAAAATGCGGTAGTGGTGTAGTGGTAAAGCGCTCGCTTCATAAACGAGTGGTTCCGAGTTCGATCCCCACCACGTCCCTGGTAGTACCGCGCTCAACTCGTTTTTCCGCGCAGCGACCTTGCTCGTCAAGGTTCGTGTTTCGGAGTTATAGAGTTGAGAGAGGGTTATAACCATAATTAAGTAGCCTCCTCGTCTGTAGTGGCCTTCTCGGCCTTAAGGAGGTGAATTAAAATAAAAAAAAAAAAAAAAAAAAAAAAGTTCACCAGACCTACTTGCTCTTTGTGAGACTAATTTGATTTCAGTTGTCTCATCTTGTGATTTTAGTGTTAATGGTTATCTTCCTTTAATTCATAAAAACTCCAATATTTACATGCTTGGCCTAGGCATTTACATTCGTAAAAATTCACCCACTTGTCGGGTAACCAAGTTTGAATCCACCAACTATTCTTTTATGTGCTTTCGTTTAGCGCCACTTCACTTTATTGCCTTTCTCTTTAATCTATAATGCTTTACTTTGTCTCAAGACTGCACTCTTTTTTATGTAATTTTTGATCAAATTGACCAAGCCCTCTCTCTTTATCCATCAGCTAATACTGTTGTTGTTGGTGTCTTTAATGATCATCACACTGAATGGCTTGGCTCTAGTGTCAGTGACTCTGCAGGCATTAAGGCCCACAACTTTCACCTTAAAGATATTTTAAACATGTTTCAATATCAACTTGATATTTATTATTTATTCATAATCTTTAACTTAAAGAGTCTTTCAACTTGCTTTCCTCACAAATCATTTGCCTTCTTAACTCCACTTATGTCTTGTTCCCACCCTTAGGTGCTTCTGATCACGGTTTGATCTTTCTAAAACTATTATCCATAGATCATCCAGGTCATACTTTAAAAATCCAGAAAAATGTTTGGGTAAAATATACGGAAAAACCTGGAATATATATTCCCTTATAATCCTCTTAACTTTACTTTTAGCTGAAATGTTTCCAATTTTTTAAAATTTTTATTAATTTTTGTATGAGTAATAAGTGAAAAAGCTTAATAAACAAATATATTGCATAAATAAATACCTAAACTTGTATGAATGAAAAACATTCTGGATATCCGGAAAAACTAAAAGTTTAGAAAAATATCTGAAATTCTGGAAATATCCAGAAAAAGATGATTCCTGATTACCTCATTCTTCTTCATCATCAGAATCCCCCTATCATCATACCTCTTACAACTACCTTAAAGCTGATTCTACAGATGCTTGTTTACTATTGCTAGAAGCTATTGTAAAAAGGTTTTGTCTAACGCAATTCTCAATTTGTCAATCCGCAATTCTCAGGTCATGAATTGTATCTTGTATTTCATCTCAAAAATTAGGCTCTCGTGACTTCTAGAAAATCTTTAACATTATCAATAATGTCAGTATTGATATCAACTATATGCCTTCAAAAGGTACAGACTGCTTAGAACCAGCAGTGGCTATGATACAGCTTAAAGTTGCTGTTTAGTTATTATCAGTCAAAAACTTCCTGCTTTAGCTATACAATAATAACAATAATTATGATTTTTTATATAAATGTTTTTTTTTATTTCTATTAAAATATTTTATTTTTATGTATAGTGAAACCTAATATTTTTTTACTCAATCCAAAAAAAAAAAATGTAAATAATGAATGAAACTGTGAAATAATGGAAAAATAAAAACTGGAAAATAATGCGCTTTTATTAAGCGCATTATTCAGAACTTACCTGAAATTTAACTAAAATTAAAATAAAGTTATATGTAATACGAACATTTTAAAGTAACTTAAATTAAATTTATTAAATCTTTTTTTACTTTGGTAATTTTATCATTAAAAAAACGGAGCATTTTAAAATTAAAAAATTTTAAAATGCTCTTTTTTAAAATTAAATGAAAGAATTTTAATTAAGTTTAATAAATTTATTAACTAAAAACTATAATTATTAAAAAAATATTTAAATTTAATAAAATAAATTGAAAATATTTCTTTTTTTAAATTTGATTGTTTATAAACTTATGAAATCTAATATTTAAAATTAAATATGATGAAAAGTTTAAACTTAAAACACTTTATTTTCTTTAAGTAATTTTTAAAAACAAAAAAAAAAAAATTAAACAAATTGTTTCTTTAACAAAAAATCTATTAGTGGTTACAATTGTGGTTAAATGCTTTTACTTACGACTTTAATACTTCTGAATGAACGTCACATAAACGATATAAAAAGATAATTTAAATATTCTAAAAGATTTTTGCGTAACGCATAACTGCTGAACGCGTAGGCAAATCGCCTTTTCGCAGGCAAAATGCGAGCTGCGTAACGCTTCTTAACAAGGCCTGATATATGTATATATATATATATATATACACATATACATATATATATATACACATATACATATATATATATATATATATATATATATATATATATATATATATATATATATATATATGTGTATATATATATATATATATATATATATATATATATATATATATATATATATATATATATATATATAGTGCATTTTTTATTATTAAACATGTATTTTATACTTTCATATTATGTTTCAACTAACCACATTGTCTGTTTTAACTTGCTCCAATTAAGGGGTTTGTTGGAATTTTCTTTTTACAGCTCTCTAATCAAACATATATTTAAAACTAACAAAAATCAGTGAATGAGTGCTTTAGTAAGTATTTAGACAATAAATAAGAATTTCAAAAAATATTTTGGTCACAAGTTAATAATTTAAAAAAATGCTCTAACCCTGATCTACCCTAATACCTAAAAAAACCATTAGCAATTTTTTTTTTTTTTAATATGTAAAAATTATTTTTTTAACTATATTAAATCTTGTTTTTTTTTTTAAATGTTTAACAAATATTTTTTAATTTTGTAAAAATATTTTTTCTCAATAAAGAAAATAAACTTCATTGGGTATTTTAAACAGAAAAACATTAAAAATAAATATAAATAAAATCAATCAAAATTTAAAAAAAAAAAAAAACCTGGCATGTTTTAATGGTTTTCCAAGATATTGAAACAACATGTTGAACAAGTAAAAGTGCCTAAATAATTAAAAAAAAAAATCTTTAAAAATTACACATATAAACACACAAAAAAATCTATAAAAATTACACATATAAACACACACAAAAAGTCGCTATCTTAAGTTAAAATGTACTAAACTTTTAAGTTAAAAGCCATTTTTAATGAACACAATAAATACATGACAAAACTTTTATGTAAAAAACGTGTAAAATGCTTTATTAAAAAACAAAATTTAACAAAATAAAAACATGCAGGTTTGTTATCGGTACATAAAATAATAAATAATAACAACAACAAAAAAAGAATACTCAAAAATATTGAAGAATCCAACTGTATAAAGAATAAGTCTAATCGCGATTACATTTAACAGTCTGTTTTTAATATTGATAAACATTTTTTGAAAAGTATGGAACTATGTACTAAACAATAATAGATGCGCATCTATTTTTTTTATTCTGATTTATTCCCAACAAGGATGCAAGCTATTAAGTTTTAGAGATACTAGGAAAAAAATAATTGTTATAGAGCAAACAAACGGTTGACAGAAGACTTGAAAAGTTGTTGTATGAGAAAAAACATCATCTTTATGTTTTCTTATTGCCAAAAAAACATACAGATGAGAGAGAGTTCCAAATAGTTAAAGTGTGGGGAAAAAAACTAGACAAATGAAACTTTTTAGAGCATGCATGCAAAGATACAGTAAAGAATGAGACTTTGATGAATGACGAGTCAAGCGAGAATGAGTTTTAGTTGATGGAACTAGATATGATAGATCCTTTGAGCAGTAACCATGAAAGTATTTGCAGGAAAGTGAAAAAGACACAACTTTACAACAATAAGAGTTGATCCAACTATGTTTACAAGATGTTTTTGGACCTTGTCTAGAAGAGAAAGAGAATCATTAGAAGAAAATTTGTGCTAGACAAATACGTCAACAGTATTCCATACAGGGACGAATAAGAGTTTTGTAGATGTAGATAATGGAAGCACAAAGAGAAGCAATCTTAGCAGATGCTCGAACGAAGCAATCAATTGTATATAAAGTTTTCATGAAAGGTCAGTAGAGAATGATAATTCAAGAAGACATACAGATCTATTGTTTAGTACATTTTGTTTTCCTATTTTTGTGTTTATAAAAAACATTTTTTCATACACATAATAACTTTTAACTATAAGTATACTCAATGTTTTACCTCAAACTCATTTAATGTTTCTTTAAAACGATCAGATTTTCTTTTACTTGAATACCAAGACAATCCTCTAGCTAAGATAAATTAGATAATTTTTAAGTTTATAATCTTTTAAACTAACAAAAGCATTTTTTATATAATGATTATCATAAACATTTTACACAAACAGATACATAATACATTTTACAAAATCATTTTGAATTATTTTAACTTTATATAACTATATTTATAATAGCGATGTACCAAACTTTTTATACTAAATCTTCGCTAAAAATAATTAATCTAGCCCTGCATTGGATTATTTTTTTAATTGTTCATTGAAACTTGTATAATAAACCAAAAATAACTCACTAAAATCTTTTAAATATTATTATTGATAAAAACGTGTAAAAAAAAAAAGAAAGTAATACGAATAATATATATATTAGGGTGGGGCATAAAATACCAAAATAAATAATAATAAAAAAAAACCATCATAATTTTTGTGATTCCTTTTGATACATGTATCAAAAAAATATATTACTTTTTTTATGGGTACTCCTATGGTTGGTTTCAGCCAACCATAGGAGTACCCATAACTATTCTTTTGTGCCAAAAAAAAATAGTTGCAAAAAAATCGGAAAGTTTTTCTTGTTGGTAAAGTAAGGATTTAAACAAAGACAGGAACCCTTTAAATTTAGTTTTAAGGAGAGACACTTTTTCAAGAATGGTATTTAATGTAAGTCAAATACTAGACTTGATGTTGATTTTCTGAACAACTAAAAAAGTAACACTTGTTCAAAAAATGTTAGATAAATAAAAAACTTTTTTATTTTTCACTTGTTCAAAAACTTTTTTATTTTTCATTTGTTAGATAAATAAAAAACAAAAAATTGAAAGACAAAACAAAAAGAGTCTTTTTCAAAGAACGAAAGAATCTATGAGATAACAGAAAGAGTTGGTCTATGATTAAACAAAAGAGTCCATGAGATAACAATGAGTTGGTTACTGAGAAATTTAAAGACACAACAAAATGTTTAGATAAAATAATAACATCAAAGATGAGCAGTATCACCAGCCAATTAAAAAAATAAAAAAACCTAATGCTGTTCCTCTTTTTATTCCAAATATTATTAGAAAAGATTTAGCTCTAACAACATCATGATATGGAAAAAGTTTAACTGTACTGAGGGCAACTTTTCGCTTATAAATAACAGTTCTGGAAAGACAGATGAATATTTTCTTTCTAAACAAAGTATTTTGAAGCTGAAAAAGACAAGTATAAAGAAAACTGCATGTAATAAAACAAATTTATTATATTGGCTAAGGGTAAAAAGTCTTACCACAGATTTTGAGAAATCTGTGGTAAGACTTTAAGGTAAGACACTGCTGAGTCTCTTCGAAAAGCAATCAAAAAAACTTTATTAGACAAATACTAATTTTCCTATCCGCTGCTCATTTAGAGTCTGTACTCTAGTTGAGCAGTGGAGAGGAAAAGCTTTGATTTGATGGCTTGTTGTTATCATTTGGATTGAAAAGGTAAATATTAAAAAAAGCTAAATATGAACAAAGCATCATAAAATGTTTTTATATTTAATTATGAATATTTCTCAATGAGTTGAATGATTCACCTTATTATTAAAATTTAAATAAGTAATTTAAAAGAAATATCTTTCAACACTTTTCAAGTGTTCTTACTAGTGGTAATACAAGTGGACCAAAGACTGAGTTATTTGAAAGGCTGAAAGGGTAATTTTTTTTTGAAAAGAAGACAAATTTTGATAACCTGAGGAGATTTGACTCAGGAAATAAAAGGTAATTTTTTGGAAAACCAGCTTGGTTTGATTGATTTCAAATTATATTAATGTGTTTGATTATAAGTTTTAATTATAAAGTTTTTTAATAAAAATTTAGGCTTCTGAATCATTAAGATTTTTTCAACTTTGTCTCCATAATGATGTGTCCAAAAAACGACTACAAGTATTTTATTCAATTAGCAATTTTTTGGTTAGGTGGCAAAGTAAAAGACTTTCGCTTTAGATTTCCGATGGCTGCACATCATGCAAGATTTATGGTGCAGAGGGTTTATTATTTAACATATGTCCTTTCTCAGCCACAATTGAGTAGCTTATGTCCCAACATAATATCATTGCAAAGAGGAAATCTGATTCAGGAAAAAGATTCATTTAGAGCACTTTTTTATGTTCCGCTGTTTATTAAAGCTCCTATCTTTACCACAGCACCCTCTTTAGATCTTAAAATTATTAATAAAATGATAAAATATTCTGAGTTCTGTCCTAAACCATCAGAAGCTGTACTGAAGTCATTTAAAAAACACAATTGGTATTTAAATAAAAAGTTTGTGGTAATGTGTCTTGCTGATAAATGTTTACCTGTAGATCAGTTACATAAAATAGATCTGAAATTATCTCAAACAGCTAAGCCTGCCAGTTATAAGATTGGAAAACTGAGTTCTGAAAAAACCAATTTGACGATACATCATGTGAAGGTCAGTAGCACTCAGGCAGACCATTGATAGCTGATAAAGATCAGCTGAAAGACTCAGGTTGAAATTAACTGTCATCTTACAACTTAAGAGATGGCAGAGATGGTCAGTATATCTCTAGTAACCATAATTAACAAATTTGCGTAGATTATGATACTTCTAATGTTACGATGGGTGTCACACAAATTGAGTGAAAGAAACAAAATTGAATTTCTATTTACATTTCACTGCTCAAATACAATTATGTCATGGCATTTTATTATTATTTATTTTCAATCATGGCATTTTTAAAGTGTATAAAAATGGGTGATGAAAAGTAGATGGTTTATGATTATGTAAAGCAAAAAAGATCATATGGGAAACAAGATAAGCACCTACAAACCACATCAAAGCAAAATATTCATGCCCAGATAATTATGCTTTGCATATTATGGAATTTAAGTATTGTTTTTTATTAGCTTCTTTCATATTAATAAAACAATTAATTTGGAGAAATACTGTGCTTAACTTGATTGTTTGAAAGCAGCAATTGATGAAAAATACTTTATATTGGCTAATCGCTATGGAGTCATAATTCATCAAGAACTATGATCATAAAAATTTATATGACCACGCAAATAATATTTTGTTTTGATTACTTGACCATGGCTTTTAACATTTTAAAAACATGCTGAATAAAAAATGTCTAAATCAAATAAAATTGAAAATTTTATCTTTACTAACATTTTTATATAAGCAAAACGCTTTTAAATAAATATATAATACTTAAATAAAAATATATAAGTTGAAGAACATCAACTTAACACATAATTGTCACACTCAACATGTATACAGTTTAACAATAACATCTTTGAATTTAATGAAACTGTTTGATTGCTCAACAGAAAAACTCAAATAAAAATGTGAAACCTTTGTTTATCTGAAAACTACTAAAAATGTCATTTTTAAATTTATCGAATAAAAAAATTAGATGATGCCAAAATGCTACCATGAAAACAAACTTTTTATCTGTAATTTTAATGTTATTGAAGCTAACACAGTATTTTTAGTATATTTAATTTTTTTTTGGTTGTTTGTAACATTTAATGATAACATAAAGCGTGAAGTTCATGAAAATGTTTCAAACAAATCCAATTGTTATTATGTAATCAATTTGCTTTAATTTGTATTTAGCATTGTCTGACAAAAAATATAAATTTTGTAATCATCATTACTGATCACCGTGTGCCAGGGTGAAACTGAACCTCTATGAAAAAACCCCAAAAAAAGTATTGTGACATTCTTTTACATATATATAATAGTTATAAAAATTATAAAAATAAAAAACATTTGTTGGGAAAATTTTGAGAAACCGCCCTTAAAAACTGGCAATAAAAAAAAGGTATAAAATCTTTTTTTTAAGTAATTTAACATATTGTTTCAGTTAGGTACAACTTAAATAGATATAAAAACTGAAAATATATATTATTGCACACTATGTAACTAAATATTATTAGCATTAAAGTTTAGGATAGCCTTAAAGTAGTTCGCCATATATCTAGGTGAAGAAATGTCTTTTATCAGGTATTGCTCCCAAACCACCAAAAATGCTGAATGTGAGTTTTCTAACTCCTGTTCTGAAAACTGACCAAGTCCCCTTCTTGTGATGTTGATAAACTGCTCAATATGTGTGAGTATTACATGAAGCTTAGGGGTTTCAGACACTCCAAACTCTTCCTGTAAAGACTTAAAAGACATCCTTAGGTTTTTAAAAACATTCATATAATCAGGATTTACAGACACACCAAATGTAGAGTAAATAACCTTTGAAAAGTCATGTATGTAAATTAAAAAACCAGACAGCTCCATAGGAAGTACTTTCTCCAAACTATCAAGGAGTCTTAGAACCTTAGAACACTCATTACCTTCAAGTGTGTCACCATGGTATGGTTCGAAAAGAATAGAACATCCTGCTAACCAAATCTGAAGTCCTGGCCAAGTGTTTTGTAGTTCCTTAAGGACATGATTTAGGGACAACTTAAGATGAAGGGCTGGTGATCGACTTTTAAGGATCACTAAGCCTTCATCACGATCATCTTCATGAAAGAACAAAGGAGTTGCCACAAAGTTAGTATACTCTTTTGCTTTGATCTTTTTACCTCAGGAGGTTAGCCAATCCTCTTTGTGGTTTTTAATATTCCCAAATGTTCTGAGTGTAGCATCTGTCTGCCAGGCTTTATTTCCTTCGCTATTTTCAGAGATTCACAGTATAAGCATGGATATTTTGATGCACATGACATTATTCCAGGCACAATATTTAAGAGTTTTAGGTCACCAGTAAAGTTAAACAATAGAAGATTGATTTGAGCCTTCTCTATGAATACCTTTCAGTTATGATATGTCTTGGGAATTTTTGGTCCCCTGTAGTTACTGGCAAAGCAGTGTGAGCAGATCCGTGTGGGAAACAATCTTGAATTATCAGATTTATTCTTCTGTTTGTAGACAAATAATTTCCACTGAAGACTATTCAAGCTAGCAATTTTACAAATTCTGCACTTACATCTTTCCATAGACCTAATAAAAACAGATAAATGTTAAATACATTTAACATTTCTAAAAAAATAAACTACTAGTAAACTAGTAGTTTATTTATTTAGAAAAACTAAATAATTGTCTGTAGAAAATAGAGAGGGAGAGATTAGTGTTGATTAAATTTATAAACACTTGTTAACTTAGATAGAACAGAGTTTAATTAATACTTTGTTTTATTAATACCTATTAATACCAAAGTTTTATTAATACCTTGTTATAGTTTTCAGCTCTGGGTCATAGTTCTCTGCTATTGATAGATTGACTGTAGAATCTCCATTTTTTATCTTGTTCAAGTCCAATCTGCAGTCAATACAAAGTCCAGATGGAAACCTTGGATCTTGGAAACCTTGGAGCTATTATTTAATAACTTGATTTTAAATATATATATATATATATATATTTAAAATCAAGTTATTAAATAATAGCTCATTTTTTACCATTTAAGGCTTAAAATGCTCTGTTATTGAAACACAGGCCTTTAACAATAGATTAAAAGAAGCGATTTTCTGAAAATATTGAATAAAATGGAAAATAAAAATAAAATTTCAAGACTCCAGACAAGAAATATAGTTTTTATCCTGTTTTTATGGCTTTTTTATTTTTGGGAGCTTTAAAGGGCCATTTTTCAAAATTTTCCCAACAAATGTTTTTCATTTTTGTAATTTTTATAATTAATACATATATGTAAAAGAATTACATAAAAAGTTTTTTGGGGCGTTTTCATAGAGGTTCAGTTTTATCCAGGCACATGGTAAGATAATATTATTATTAATTATTATTATTATTGCTATTATTATTATTATTATTGTTATTATTGTTATTATTATCAATATTATTATTATTATTCACAATGACGACATAAAATCAATATATACATAAAAAAACTTAAAGAAGAAAAGCTAACCTTCAATATACTTTCTCTTTAAGTCGATGTATAGATCATTACTTGCTTTTAATAAAACACAAATTTAAAAAATATTAATAAGTAAAAATAAAAAAAACTATAATATACAAAAATACTTTTAATTTTTGTTTTGTAAACCTTATTTCATTTTAAATTTTAAATTTTTTATATTTATTAATTCAACTTACTATTTTTTTTATCTTCGTATATGTGAACACCAACAGATTTGATAACTATAACAAAAAATATTCAAAAAATTAAAAACATGAAAAACAAATGTTAATACTTTTATAAAAGCAGTTGGCAGTGCTTTTAAAAAGTAAAACTAAAATTCTTTTAATTTAAGAAACTTATTTGACAATACATAAAAAATGATAAAAAAAACAACAGATTTTCCAGAAAAAACTACCCTTTGATTATCTTTCTATTTAAAAAATCAAATAAGTTTTTACTTCTAGAAAGTCAGTCACACATTATATTCTGCACATTTTAAAAAACCAAATTAAAAAATTATATTTAGCATGTCTATGTAATTAAAAGAAAAAATATGTAACTGCTTATTTTTTAATTGTTACAATTACTATAATTATGTTTATCTTGATATGTTGACAGGTAATGTAAACATGCAAAATATGTTGATGGTTAATGTGATTTTATTAAAAAATATATTTATTTTGGCTTAAGCCAGAATAAATGAATGCATGATCAGTTATTTATCTATGAAATATTGAATGGACAGGCTGTGCAACTGTTTTAAGCTCTTTGTTATTAACAATTGAGTTAACCATCTTAATATTTGATTTATTTTATTACAATTAAATTAGCTTGACAATATATTAGTCTGATAATTTTACAGATAATTTTGACAAATACCTTTTTTATATACAATATATAATTAAAAACAATTAAATAATATAAAAATTTGATAACTTATCTAAATTTAAAAGTTTTTAACCAAATAACTAAACACTTAAAGCAAAATTATGATACCATTCACAACATGACATCATGACACAACTTACAAATCAATACATTAAGTCATTTTATGACACTAGCAATTGCATCACTACTAGTGCAAGGGGGTTAAACACTTGGATTGCAAGAAGACAAAAATATGTGACATAAATTAATTAGGTGACACAAAAGTAAAACTTAAAAAATTCAAATTCTAATAAAAATAAAATCTCTTTACTTGATAACATTAGGCATCAGTCAGAATTCAGGTATGAAAGTACATGTAATGAGAGAGTGCACCAGATAAAGTTAGTAGATACCAGGAATTAGTACAAAATAATTACTTTTAAAAATTAATTTTGAAAGGTATCTTTCAAAATTAACTTTTTTACTTGTGTGATGAAATGGACATCAACTTTGTGCGCATAAGGCTGATGCATTAACCTTGTGCACATGAGGATGACACATAATGTTGCTGCTTTTATGCAAGTTGGTTTTGCATTGATTCATTTAACATCTTTGTTGTATATGAATCAATTCCAATGAATCAAGTCCAAGCAATTAAAGCATGATCTTTAGCTCTTTTTTTTTTTGAGACTTTGCAATTGTTTTTTTCTAGAATAGCCTAAAAGTTTTCCATTGGATTGAGATTTAAAATATGAGCTAGCTATTCAACTCAATATTTTTCCGGATGAAAAACTCTTTTGCTTTCTTTGACGTATGCTTAGGGTGGTTGTCTTGTTAGAATATAAAATGTTTTCATGCAGTTTTCCAGGTAGATTTTTATTGAGAATGTTGACATACATCTCAAAGTCCATAATTCCACCAATAAACTCCAGCTTTTCTGTTTCATTTTAGGCCAATGCCCACACTATAACATTGCCTTCTCCAAACTTTACTGCTCCTTGAATACAACCTAGTGTGAATGCTTAACTTTTTTTCCATACTTTTTGAGCTCAATCAATCAAAGAAATACTTCAAAAGATTATACTTTGACTCTTCAGTCCACAAAACTTTCAGGATGTTAACAGCATGTTTACAATTTTTTTAGCCAATACAAGTTTTGTTTTTGTAGAACTCTTGCCTTAAATCTACTTTCTTTCAATCAATTTTGAATAGTTAATTAGCTCAATTGAAGCTTAAATTCTTTTTAAAGAAGGCTTGGTTTTTTGATGCTGTTAAAAATGGTTTTTATGCACCATCTCGAAAATTTGTCAATTCTAGATGTTGTTTTGCGCTTATATCTTAGCTGATTTTTCAAACATTAAAAGTACAATATGTTTGGATATTTCAAATGCCCAAAAATTTTTAATGATGGTTCCTGATGCTATTCTAACCCCTTCCTTTACTAATCAAGAAGTTTTACCTTGTTTGAACAATTCAATAACTAAAAAAACTTGCAACCATACACTGACTTTAACTGCTGTTCTTGATAATATAGGGTGGGGCAATATGGATAGTTGGAGTAATATATATATATATATATATATATATATATATATATATATATATATATATATATATATATATATATATATATATATATATATATATATATATATATATATATACATATAATAGTTTTATATAATGCTTCTGAACTATTTACATTAATATCATAGTTCAAATTTGTTTTCCCTGAATGGCTAGGGTAAAATTTTAACTCCCATCTAAATGTTTTATATTTTATTTCTGTATTCCTATTTACTTTATAATTTAATTATACACTTTATATAGAGTTTGTTTTAAAATACTTTAGATAAAATTAAAAGATCAAAAGACTGAAATAAACTATTATACCTCGTGAATACCAATGCAAGACTATTGGTACATACGATCAAATTAATGACTGTCATACAGCATGTTAAGGAAGGAGAGTCAATATATAATGCATCTAAGCCTTCTGGGATTCCTTATCGATCATTATGCGTCAGACAAAATAAGTGTATTAAGAGCTGCATAGACTAATAGAAACAAGATAAACGAAATCTATTTTAACTTAGATATGACAGAATCCGAAAGAGATCTTATTAAACAGCTACGTAGTGAAGTTAAATTGTTAAATGCTAGCCTAAATCAAAACGATGAATACTACTACACTATAAGAAATTTTAAAATTGTGAAACTCATAAAAAAACCAAAGCATTAGCAATCATCATTTAATTTACATCAACCTGCAGCAATGGCTGTCCTTTCAACATATAACCCTGTATCTAATTTAATTCTAAATGCTAATGAAGATTGCCTTCTATCTGATAGTTTAATGACAAAAGATGTACATAGTAGGAAAGTTGGTGTTTCAAATGTTTGTAATTTAGATTTAGATCGACATAGAAATGATGGTTTATCAAATAATTTAGTGATATTGAACGAAAATTCTACAGCAATGTTAAAATGTCACCTTAAGTGCAGGTACAGGAATGCAACCTCGCTCAATAAAAAATTTAAACTTTTTTTTATTGGAAATAGCCACATACAATCCTGATGTATTTATGATAAGTGAAACGTGGTTTATGCCCTCAAGCTTAATACATGTGGAGGATTATAATATTTTTAATAGTAATTGGTGCAGTACAAATTCAAGTAAATGTCGTGGTGGTGGGGTAGCTATCTATGTAAAAAATAATTGCGTTGCCTATGCTCCAAAGGAAATAGTTCTCAATGATACATCGGTTGAACAAGTGTGGTGCGTTATTAAAATTGAACATGAAAGCATATAAATTGGCTGCATATATCTCCCACCAGACGCATCAGAAGCACTAAATCAAAAAATTAATACCATCCTGAACAAAGCCAAAACTTATGTCGATAGAAAGAAATTTTCAGGTATTATGATAGCTGGTGATTTCAATTACTCGAATATAAAATGGAGTGATGAAAACGTTCAGACAGTAGCAAATAATGATGCATCAGCAATAAAATTTTTGGATAGCATAAATGATGTTTATTTACATCAAAATGTAATAAACCGTACATTTAATTTAACTGCATTGTCATCAGAAGGCAGGTAACATAGATAAAGCACATCACATACTATTTTGGCATTATGAATTACAAATGCATATCAATACAAAAGAATCATATGGTAAATCAACATTCAATTTTAGAAGAAGGAATTTTAATGGAATGAATGATGAGTTCAAGTACACTGATTGGTCAAATCTCTTCCACAATAAAAATATCAATGGATGTTATGAGATATTTGATAAAAAATATCAAGAACTATCCAATAATTATATACCAAAACGTATTAATACTAAAAAGAAATTAACACCGTGGATTGACAAATTTACAAAAGCAGAAATTAGAGAGAAAGCAAATTTATGGAAGAAATTAATATCGAATAATTTCAAGTCACCAAATTTATCAAAACAATACAAACAACAGTGCAAATTAGTCGAAAAAATTGTTCAGAGTAACCGTATCGAATACGAGAAGAAGATTATTGAAAAGTCAAAATACAATCCTAAAGTTTTCTATGAGTATCTGAACGCAAACAACAAAATTAAATCAGGCATAACGTCAATTTTCGATGAATTTGGCTATCTTCATACAAATAGAAAAGCAATTGCAAACATCTTAAATAAAAGTTTCAATTCTGTTTTTGTTCATGAAAATAAAGATAATATTCCACTTATTACAACTAAAACTAATAAGACTATACAATTAGATTTAGACAATCTGATCACTCTTGACACAATTGAAAAGAAATTAGAACAATTAGATATCAACAAATCCGTTGGTAAAAATGGAATTAGTCCATATGTAATGAACAAATGACATAGCACCATTTGCGAACCATTAATACTAATGTTCAAAAAATCTCTAAAAGAAGAAAAAGTACCAGAGTTATGGAAATTAACAAATGTCACTCCTTTGTTTAAAAAAGGAGAAAAAAGTGATGCATCAAATTATAGACCAATTCCACTAACATCAATACCATGTAAAGTGTTAGAATCAATCATTAGAGACGAAATAATAATTTATCTATTGACGAATGGTTTACTAAATGAAAATCAACACAGATTTAGAAAAAATAAAAGCTGCTTAACTAACTTATTGGAAACCTTAGATATCCTCACAGATGCTTTAGAAAATAATTGTTCTATAGATATGCTTTATCTGGATTAGGCTAAAGCATTTAATAAAGTACCACATTCACATTTAGTCCATTATTAAAATCATATGGGATTATAGGCAACTATCTAAAATGGATAGAAGAGTTCTTAAGCAATAGGAAGCAGAGAGTTGTTCTTGGGGACCGTGTATTAAATTGGTT